TCCTTTGAATGTGATCTGCTTCTTTTCTCTAGCGGCTTTCAGTAGATTATTCTTGTGCTGAATTTCTGGGATCTTGACTATTATATGTCTCGATGTGTTTACTTTACTAATTTTAAAAAGCACCTTATTATTTATTCTTAAATCCCATATTCAATTAGGAAAAAATGAGAAGGTATGTCTGCATTACATGACTCCTTAGGTTGATAAATTCAACCACATCTTTTAATTTCCCAGTAAGATATCCTTTCATATACTTCTTCAAAGCTCACATATAGTAGATTATCAAAGAGTGTAGATGTATCCCTCAATCTGCAAAGTAGCTTATTTCTGAAAATCTTTTAACATTCATGATAAAAAATGGGGCAAGCTACTTAAAATGATAATGGACCAACTTAAAAAAGTTGATCTAAACATCTTAGTTTCTCATAATTCCATACTAAAAATGTCTAGTTTTTTAAGTTAATAATTATGTATATTGACTAACATTGAGAAAAATACGAAGGAATCTTGCCTATCCTCCTGGTTCCAGAAAATTTCTGAGGAAATGAAGAAAGGTTTAGAAACAGGAAAACTGTATTTATGTTATAGCTCATGCCTGTTATTAATGAACATAAAAAATTTTAGTTTCATGCTGCAATTCTGTTTTTTCAAAAATGATGGATGTGATTCATTCATATAAATAAGTTGTGACCAATTCCTTAATCTTCAAAGGCACCCCTGCTCACCTACACCTCTCCCTCCTTCTCTCTCTCCCTTTGTTATTTTGTCCACAGCCTGGGGATCAAGTCCAGGAGCCCAGGATGTTCAGGCAAGAGCTGTACCACTCAGCTACATACCAGCCAAGATAACTGTGACTTTAAACTTAACTTCTGCTTGCTACAACTCCAGAACTATATAATCTATTGTTAAAAACTGCAGGGGATATAATTTGAACTTTATTTTGATATTCCATCAACTATACTATATTAAGACACTTTTAAAAAATAACGTTCAATGAAGATTATGCTCACAAAAATGTCTTTGAAAACATTTTTTCTCCTGTGAAAATATGTCTGTGTCTCTGAACGTCTCCAATGTCTCCAAATCTCAGGTGTCTGAGTTCATTCTACTGCGCTTCCCAGGCATTCACAGCTGGCAGCACTGGCTTTCTGCATTGCTGGCTCTGCTGTATCTCTTAGCAATTGGTGCAAACATGCTCATCCTTATCACCATCTGCCAGGACCCCTCCCTGAAGCAGCCCATGTACATTTTCCTGGGTGTACTTTCTATAGTGGACATGGGGCTGGCCACTACCATCATGCCAAAGATCCTAGACACCTTCTGGTTCAATGCCAAGGCCATTAGCCTCCCTGAGCATTTTGCTCAAATTTATGCCACCATTGTTTTATTGGCATGGAATCTGGTATTTTTATTTGTATGACTTTTGACAGATACATAGCTATCTGTCACCCTCTTTGCTACACATCAATTGTGACCAATTCCTTAATCTGTAAAGCCATCTTATTTTATGGTGCTTAGAAATGGCTTGTTTGTCATTCCAGTGCCAGTGCTTGCAGCCCAGCGTAATTATTGTTCCAGCAATGAAATTGACCACTGCCTGTGTTCTAACCTCGGGGTCACCAGCCTGGCCTGTGATGATAGGAGGGCAAATAGCATCTGCCAATTGGTCTTGGCATGGGTTGGAATGGGGAGTGATCTGGGTCTTATTATATTGTCATATGCCTTGATTCTGCGCTCTGTACTGAGGTTGAACTCAGCTGAAGCTGCTTCCAAGGCTCTGAGCACTTGTAGCTCCCACCTAATCCTCATCCTCTTCTTCTACACTACTGTTGTAGTGGTTTCAGTAACCCACCTGGCAGAGACAAAGGCTATGTCGACTCCAGTTCTGCTCAACGTGCTGCACAACATCATCCCCCCTTCTCTCTCAACCCTATGGTTTATGCACTCAGGACCAAAGAACTTAGGGAAGGTTTCCAAAGGTTGTTTTGTTTGGGTTTGCAAAACAAATGATATAAAAGGCACCTTGATCATTAGGTACATGAAATTTAGTTTCTTCTAAGCTTGGTGGAATTCCAAAAGGACTAGAGCAGTAAGTGAACAGCTTTCATACTATCTTTTTGTATTCTTATATGAACAGCTGTTAAAGATTTCAAAATGAAGAAAAAATAGCCGTGAAGCCTTCTCTGATATTCCAAAACTGGCAAGAATTAAATACATAGTTATAAGAATCTGGAAGAACTGGATAGGAACTCAAGCAAATGAGTTGAAAAAGAACAGTAGCTGTATATTTGCATGTTTTTTTTTTTTACCCTAGGGCATCAGAGTTAAGGTTTTTAGAAGTTATCCTCATGGTACCAACTATCCATGTTTGTTTTATTAACCCTAGTTATGACCCAGTGAAGAGCAAATGAACATTAAAGTTATTAAATTTTCTTTAGAATCCATATGTTATTGCTTCTTGTGTCCCTGACTTCCATGTTGGCTTCCTTTTTAAATCCCCATCACCACTACTCTAAGTACACCTCTCTTGCTGCAAATACAATAGTAAAAGCAGCTCAAGCAGATAAGACTATTTTTAGATGAACAGAAATAAGGATACTCACATGTAAAGTTAGCACACACAGTCTATGATATAGCACACTATACCACGTTTTTCTTTTCTTTTTTGTTCTGCATTTTAGGGAAGGGTATACAGGGTGTTCAGGGTCTCACTACTAAATCAGACTCATAGTGATCCACCTGTTTACAGCATCCTAAGAACTGCGCACCACCACTCCCAATCTCAATCACCCTCTCAGCGCTCTCTGGGGGTGGGGCCAGCATGGCAGGCCCGGGGATCAAACTTCTGGCCCCTGCTCCTGCTTGCAGGCGCTTTAATCCACTGAGCTATTTTGACAGCCGTATACCATGTTTTTAATCTGGCCTATTATTCTGTTTTTGAACACAAGCTTTGAGCAAGGCATAATATATTGAACGCTAGAACGAAGTAGAAAAGTTAATTTGAGATTAGGGCAGCACAAAGAAGTGACAGAATTGGGGAGATGTCTGCGTGTCTCTATTTTCAGTTGCTATAACTCAGTCACCACACTTGGGTGGCAGTGTGTAGGCCCCGAGCCTGCACGTTTTGCAGCAGGGCTCCCTAGATCTCATGGTAGCTTCCATTTATAACCAAATACACAGAAGTGGCTGTGCCAGAATACATGTTCAATTAGGATGAAGATGGAACACAGAATAAACTGGTAGTTTGCAGATGTGACAGAATCCGGAAAACATGTATAACATTAAAAATAATTTTCTTTTCTTATTTACTTTTTTAGGGAAGGGTGTACAGGGTGTTTAGGGTCTTGTTACTATATCGGACTAGTAGTGATCTGCCTGTTACAGCTTCCCAAGAGCTGGGATTATAGCCACGTGTCACCATGCCCAGTCTTGATTGCCGCCTCAGTGCGCCCCTGGGGCGGAGCTGGCATGGCAGGCCCAGGGATTGAACCCCAGGACCCTGCTTGCAGGCACTTTAGCCCGCTGAGCTATTTGGCCTGCCCCTCATTTAAAATAATTTTCTATCTGATAAATTAGCTGTAATAAAATTTAGAGTAAGTTTTCATTGTTATATAACTTCAAAAACCAAAACTTTTCACTGGTGTAATAAAAAATTCTGCATACTCTACAGATATTCAGGGATTTTTACATTTTGGGCCACTTAACATATTATTTTTTCCCTGTTTTTTAGTATGTATCTGGGTCTATGCCTTTGTGTAATGCTTTTTCAACTATTTGAAATACCTCATGGGCATTGTGTCTATTCACACTTAAATACTTCAGGAAGAATTTTCTAGAAGAAAAGACAATTATTTACATTACTATAAAACAGCCAACAAAATTAGTGAAATTGCACTGACACTTTACAGTAATTATTCCATTACTTCCATTTAGATTGATTTCCTTATCTCTGTTATATCTTTTGAAGGAATTGATCCTGCTTCAATGTTTCAGATTCAAGTATTTAATTAGATTATCAGGTCTTCAGCATGTATTGTAGGATTTCTGCATTCTTATTTGTCTTTTTATTTTTATGTCTTTAGTACAGAGAATACGGGGTTTCACTACACAGATCAGACCCATAGTGATCTTCCTGTTTTCAGCCTCACATGTGCTGGGATTACAGGTGTGCGCCACCACCCCGAATCCCAATAGCTCTTTCCTTGCTCCCTGGGGCCAGGCCAGCATGGCACTCCAGGGATCAAACTCCAGTCCCTGCACCTGCCTATGCAGACACTATAATCCACTCAGCTATCTGGCCAGACTATTTGCATTCTGCTTGATATTGATTTTTTTCTAGCTTTACTGAAGTTTGAACTAGAAATACAAACTCTATATATTTAAAGTACAAAATGTGATGTTTTGTTATCTGACTGCATTGTGTAGTTATTGCTGAAATCATGCCAAACACCATATCTATCACATAAAGAATGAATATTCACTCTTCTCCAACATGTAGCAATCACTATTAAACCAAATCATAGTCTTGTAAATGACGACACATGCACAATATCATAAAGTTTACCCAAGAGAAATAGTATAAGAATCTGCCATTATTGTGTATCACAACAGGTAATACAATTGCTAAATACCATCCTTGGGAAACAGCCATTGGCACAGTTGAATGACAATGAGAGAGCCATCAGCACACTGTCAAGTACCTATTGGCTTGAAATAAGGGAGAGTCTAGTACATAATGAAGAATTTCTTTGAAGAAGATAATCAGATCAAAAAGTCATAAAAGTTTAACAATCATTGTGATGGTTGACATTAACTGTGTCAACTTGCTTGGCTTAAGGAATGTGCAGGGCATTAGCAAAGCACAGCACTGCTTGTGTGGCCATGTGAGCCTGACCTTGTGAGCTACGGATGACTCTGTTTCCTTTCCTGCTGGCACAGTTCCCCTGCTCTGCCTCCAGCCTCCATGAAGTGAATGCTTTGCTCCACCCCATCCTCCTGCCATGGTATTTCTCTCTTGAAGTCAGCCTTCTATACCTTGAGTTCCCAAATGTAAATCAAATACATTCTATTGTGTCCCAGGAAAATTGACTAACATAGAAAATTGGTAAGAGAGAGAAAAGCATTATTGTGACTCTGTCTAGTAATGTGGTTCAGAAGCATTTATAATGGCTTGTGTGTTCATAGGTAAGACCTTTGGAAAGTGATTGCATCTTAGGGACAGTGACTTTAGCAATGTATTCATCCAATGGGGAGTTTCTAGCTCAACGTGCTGTTACGGTTGCAGTCACTGGAACCATGACATGGAAGAGTATATTCTTGTCCCCAGCACTTTTCTGTCTCTCCTTAACACACTCTCTTCTTTTCCTCTTCCCTGATGGCACCAGATGAGCAATTTTTCTCTGTCAACTTTGGACTGAAACATCTGAAACCAAGATCAGGCATAAACATTTGCTAAGGTTGTGTGTGTCATGTATTTAGTCACAGTAAAGAAAGGCTGATAAACAGTAAAGAGGGGCTGAATGCATTCACCTTAGAGAATTAAATTAAAATAGCAACACTTGTGTTATCCTTCAGTGTGACTAATTTTTGCTAAGTTCCAAATCATAAATTCATATAACTTTCACATATATATTTAAAATCAAGGCTTATGTTTACTATAATTTCAGTGAATTGTAGAACTGTGGTTGCTTTCTAAACTTCTTTAAAACATTTTTATTCCTTTCACATGTTAATATTTTTATTATACTATGAACTTTATATTCATATTATCACATATTTATAATACAACATGTGCTAATTTCATTATCTTCTTGGAAATAGAAAATTAGAATAAGAGCTTTTAAAATTATCCATATTATCACATTTACTTGAAAAGTTTGGCTATCCATCTCCTTTTCTCTAATTTAGTATCCAAGCAGCATGCTTAGATATCGCATGATAATAAGAACACGGAAGCTATGCATGATCTGATTATTTTTTCTGTTTAGCCAATACTTTGACAACCTGCACACCAATGTCTTCTACAGCTTTCCCTCCAGGCCGTGGTATCTCCTCAGCAGGCCCTCAGCAGAAGACCTGCAACATCTGCACTGTCCAATGACTTACCTACCCCCCATTTCTTTTTTCATTGCTTTAATGACCTCACCAGCCCTCCAACTTTTCCACATTGTTCTGACCATTATCTATCTGCTCCTTCTGGGTACCATGAACACTGTTGCCTGTGGGGCAAAAACTAAGTATGTAGAAGATAATATCATGAATATCCTTTGGGTTCTCAGAACATCGGATCCCACAATCTATAAATGCATATTTATAGGTGATAAATATAAAGCAAATAATTAAATGTGTACATTTAGGCAGAATTTTATAAAAATTCTTCTTGAGGTATTGTTTTATCACACTACAAAATAGTGGGCCTTGTGGACTGGTGACATATCAATAAGTAGTTCAAGAATTCAACATCACTAGCCTGCCCTCCAACCATACTAGGCAGTTTTTTAACTTCACCTGTGAAAAACTTGTAAAATATACCAAATGCTCAGTATACAAAGGGGAAAAAATTACAAAAAAGGACTAACTTAAAAAATACACAAAAATTGTATATAATTTAGTGATTATATTTATACAAGTTAAGCAAGCAATTGAAAGAAAATCATTATCCTCAGTTAAAATTGAACAATTTGAAAATATGCACATTGCTTTTACAAATACCAGTGAAACTCTGCAAGATTATTGTAGACAAAAAAGTTTTAACACAAGAAATATTAGGACAGATAAAAAGGAACATTTTGTAATGATTCCATGATGAGACAGTAGTAGAATGAATAAATTAACCTAGCAAGGTAATAGTATACATTAAACAATCAATGTACTTCTATTCAACAAGAAACATACATATAATCTTGAAGATAGCATCAGCAAATACAAAAGTCTTCGTGATAAATTACTACAGTTTATATTGTAATTGTGCAAGATACTTCCAAGTTAAATTATAGTAATTTAAGTAGGGAGAAATGATGCTTATAGATTTGAAGTTTCAATATTCTTTAGACTCTGTTCTTCAAAGGTTTATGTATAGGTTTAGTGAAACCTAATAAAATCTCAGGAAGCATCATTAGAAGTTTCCAACCCAGTAGTGTAATACACATCAAAATATTGAAAATAATAAAGTGCTGAAAGTAGTACCATGATCTGCAGAAAAAAATGAGTAAAACTGGAATACTTGGACTATCATAAACAAAAGCTTACCTAAGGTACAAAAATGTAAATCATGTTTTATTAGTGTAGAAACAGCCAAATGGACCAGTGTAACATGGATTTCTATTAATAGAGGCATGTACATGTAGGCAGTTGTTTATGGCGCTTGTCTAAGGCAATTGTGTAAGGAAAAGAAAATCTTTTAAAAAAATCACTAAAATTACCTGATATCATATAGAAAACATGGTCTCCATTACTTTACATGATACTAAAGTTGACTTGAAAATGTTAAATACAAAAGTAAATCCAATTACAGAAATATAAATTTACTATCATAGGAAAGTATAGATTACAATTCCAAAATTCTGTAACCTAAGTGTCAAGAAGCTCCCATTACACTGGTGAGAGCACAGTGCAAAAAGGAAAATGAGGAAAATGTTTAACCTTTTTCCCATTTTTTCTGCCTATGTAAATGTTCAGATGACATCAATAGGATACTCCTCTGAGTTAATCGCTTTGCTGCACTTCAGGGACGTAATGTCCTAGGAATTCAGCATTCCTTGTGGGCCTTTCTTTCCTCTTTCATCTAAAGGAAACCTTTTGAATCACTCAAACCCTCACAGCTGTATAAATTCCAGAATTCCGTCATGTCTCCGTCATATCTCAGCTGAGAGCACATCATCCAGCGATGTTAAAACTGCTTCCTCACCATGTTCTGGCTGTGTCCAGGAAGAAGCTCCTTCTACTGCAAACACTTCAAAGTGTGAGTGTCTGCTCAGAACTAGCCCAGTAAGTTTCCAAACTTTGTCAAGATCACAGTGGCTAAATATCAGCATTCAAGTGATGCCTTGTTCTATAGTTGTTGTTATGCTGAGAAATGTCCTCTGGAAGAGACTCACTCTTCTCTCTGCTGAAATGAGATCGAGTTACATTAAAACCTTTGCAAAAGAGGTAAGGGCAAAAATTTAAAATACCAGTTGCATATGGTAATTTAGAAGTCACTTATCCATTAAAGAATCCTCCAAATTAGCTCAA